CTTCACGACCGTCGTTCCTCGTCAGAGACTAGATTTTTGGGGTCCTTACCTACGGACCCTCAACCATGGACCGTGGACTGCCTGACGGTCCGTTGGTTGAGTCGTGTGTCTGGAATTTATGTCTGAAATTGGGGTGATCAACCACGGACAACACCTACGGTCTGTGGTCTCATCCACGGGCTGTGGGTAGCCTCCGTCGAATGGCACCTGCAGCTTCTGAAATGTTGTCTTGCCCATTCTTGAATCCGGGGTGTTACAACTGAGTTCTTAGCCATAGTGAGAGCACTCGTGATATCACACAAGAGAGGGATAGTTAGAGTAACCACTCTAAGAACTTCAAGATGCTATTTGATCCATATGAGTTGAGCACACCAACCTGCATTTTCTACATACCTTGCCTCAGTTGTTGAATGAGCAACCGAATCTTACCTTTTAGTTCCCCATGAAATGATAGATGAGCCTAGAAAAAGAGTCATTCTTCTAGTACTCTTTCTATTAACTTGATACCCTGCATAATCAGCATCAACATATTCCTCCAAAAAAAATCTCCTGATGGATACAGTAGAACCAAGTCCCTATTTTCTTCAAATGTCTTAAGATTCTCTTAACAACCTTCAAATGTGATTCCGTCGAACAAGCTCAGAGTCTTGCACAATATTTTAGAAGTTGCCTTGATCTGTAGCTCCAAGAAGAAAGTTAATTCTCCAATCATGCTCATTTCGAAACCCAATACTCATGAGTGCAACAAACTCTTCACACAGCACCTCAAAGGTTGCTTCAAGATGATATCATCGATATATATTTGAATAATCATCAATTACTTTCCTTGTGATTTCAAAAAGAGGGTTTTGTTAATTTTACCTCTTTTGAAACCATTGTCGGAAAGGAACTTGAACAACCTATCAACTGGTCGGGGAAATAAGTGTCATGCTTTGCTTCTTTCAAATTGGTACAACTTTCTATTCCTTGCTAGCTGGTGAGCTTGATCAACTTCTTTCTTCTCACATTTGAGAATTTGCTTTACGAGTTTGAACTGCATCATCTTTGTTCAACATTGTCTACCAAACCAGGTCCCTCGTCAGGTTCATCATCTGCATCAACTTCTTTGGGATTGTTGGATTCATGAAAAGGATATTCTTCAGCAAGCTCCCTAGTTAGACCATCTCTCTGAATCTGAAGCAACTCTTCCATTTCAAAATCTTCTTTGTTTTGTAACTTCTCAATTCTTCTAGACTCATCAAAAATCATATGAACACCCTTTTCAATGCAACATTTGTTTATACACCTGATAAGCCTTGCTGGAGGAAGAATATCCCACAAATACTCTTTCATCATTATTGGGATCAAACTTCCCAATATTATCCCTCTCATTGTTCAGAATCAAACATTTACAACCAAAAGCCTTTAGATAAATCAATTTAGGGTTTCTATTGTTAAGCCGTTCATAAGGAGTTTTGTTGAGGATTTACCTGATCAGACACATGTTGGTCACATAGAAACATAGTCCAAGTGAACCTTGAGAAGTCGTCCACGATCACAAATATATACTTCCTTCCTTCTCTGCTCTAAATCTTCACTAGACCATACAAATACATATGGAGCAGAATGGTGCTCATTTGCTTTTTTTTCTTGAATGATGAGATGGTTTGCTTCCCCTTAGCATGAGTATCACAAACTTTTTCATCTGCAAATTTTATCTTTGGCAAACTGTGAACCAGATCTCTTGACACAAGTTTGTTCAGTAGAGAAGAATTCACATGACCAAGTCTCTTGTATCATAGATCAGTATTCTCGGCTTGAGCATTAAGGAAAGTGAGAATGTTACAACGAGTAGTGTTTAGATTAGCAGTATTCATGTTCTTGCATCTCTTTTCTATCAAAATCATCATCCGAGAGATTAAGTTGTGACCACACATTTATCTGATAAGAACTTAACTTCATTTCCCTTAACACAAATTTGTGAAACACTTAGAAGATTGTACTTCAACCCATTAGCATAATACAAAACTTCAATAGAGTGTTCCACAGACCTTCAAGTCCTACCTACACCATGAATACTCTTTCTTGCCATTGTCAAAGAGAAGTGCCTTGAGAGAGAGAAAGTTTTTTAGTTTTCCCAGTCATGTGCTTTGAGCATCCGCTATTCATGAACCAAGCCTGATTGATGTTACCTTCTCTCACTTGCATAGCAAATCACTTGTTAGCCTTGGGAACACATTTGAGACGGAGTTCCCAGTAAGCAGATAACATAGTGATAAGAAAATATTTTTTCCAGTACGACAGACTGGTTTTCTTCAACTTAGGACCGAAAGCATGACCATGTCCCTTCTTCTGTATGTTTCTCTGTTTGGAATAGTTTAAAGACTTTTCTTCATGTTTTTTCTCGACAAGACAATCTTTCTTAAGATGTCCATTTCGACCATAATGCACACATAGAAAATTATTAGCAGTAGAAACATTTTTGTTGTGAGGATTGCATGGGGATCTATCTTCTCATAGCCCAACCCTTTTCTGTATTTGTTACCCTAACTAGTTAAACTTCTAAGCATTTTAGAGAAAGTGGTCCATTTGAGGGATTTTTTCAATTCCTCTTTTACACAAACCACGTTCCTCTCCAACACAAGATTTCTTTCTAGAGCCAATTGCATATTCATTTCAACAATGCACAACTTATTTTCAAGCTCAACTGCAAGCTTCTAGCCTCGTTCTTCCCTTTAGAAACCGATGTAGTCACCCTTTTTATCTTTTCATTCAGTTCTAGAATTTCAGCTTCTAGAACAACCATTTGTTTTTGATATTTGGGTAACTGGAAAATTTTCATTATCTTGAAAGATGTCTAGGCTATTATTCAAGAGATCCTTCTCCTTGATTAGCTGACTGATCGAATCAATTAGCACAACAACTAGCTTTCTCAATTTTCTAATGGTAAAGTTATTCACATTTTGCTTAAAGTCAAATAGGGTTACCTCTTTATTATCATCTTCATCATCTGACTTTTCAATGAAAGAAAACATAGAGCAAAAACTTTCTCTGTCATCTTTTACTCCAAGCATGGAAGCACCATCAGAGTGCTTAGAATCATCTGAGTCACTTGAAGTATTTTCCTAGACAGCTAGAGTTTTTTCACCACATGATTGACAGATGCTCTTCTGCTTGACTTGTCAAGGACCTGGTCCCTTCTGTTGTCCTTATCTCCTCCAAACTTGACATTTTCCTTGTGTTTACCCTTGTGCATAGGGAAATTTCTAATGAAGTGAACCGATTTACCACACTTGTAACACAAGTTATTTGAGGTTGAAGCCATGCCAAGATTTCCTTTTTTCATGATACCTCCACGTTTTCTCACGATTTTATGAAATCTTCAGGTGATATAGGCCATGTTCTCATCTATTTCAGGAATTTCCCTTTGTGACACCTTGAGAGCAAGTGATTTATCCCTTTTTGCATCTTTCCTCCAATCAACCTCGTCAATCAGATCCAACCTTTTGTCTTAATCTTTGAGAGTGAGACCTTCCTTTCTTATGTGCATCTCATGGACTTGAAGATGTTCAAATAGAGCATCCAGCGTCAGTACTTCAGTATCCCTTGTCTCATTGACAATATCAACTTCATCAGTCCAAGATCTAGGAAGAATCTCCAGTATCTTAGTGACTTGTCTGCACACAGTGATAGGTTCTTCCAGGAACATGAGCTCATTTGTAATAGTGGAGATTCTAGTACGCATTTCATGAATATATTCACCTTCTTTCATAGTAAAGCATTCAAACTGAGTAATGAGGAGATCTAACTTAGATTTCTTTGTTTACTCGGTACCTTCATACACTATTCTCAAACGATCCCAGATTTCCTTGGTTAATTCATAGGACGAAATTATATCATATTTATTAGCTTCAATACCACACATTAATAACTTCTTGGCTTTGTGATTTTTCTCAACTTTCCTTTTGTCAGAGTCACTATATTGTTGTTGAGTTTTGGTAATGACCCTTATGACATCCACATCTTTTAATTCTATAGTTGGAACATAGGGACCTTCACGAACAACATCCCATAGTTGTCTATCCTCAGCCATCAGATAGTCATACATGCGAATATTCCACCATCTATAGAACTAACCATCAAAAAGAGGATGCCTTGTAGGAGACATACCTTTTTGCAAGTTTAGTGGAGTCACCATTCGTTGCAGGAATCTCTCTCTTGGTGTTAACCAAATAGAGAGCCCAACCTCTGATACTAATTGATAAATTGTATGCGTCCACCAATGATCACTGGACCAGGTCCCTAAACAGAATAATATTGCAGAATATAAATAGCTCGAAGTAGATTAGGCACAAGGATTTTACGTGAAAACCCCCTTGCTCAAGGGCGGTGAAAACCATGATCTATACTCACATGATTTCAACCCAAACCCCATTTCACTCAAACAGAGCAAAGTTTCAGATTACAAACTCTTGCAACCTAGGAATGAAAACTCTTTAATCTCTTCCTCCTTATTGTAGCAACTCTCTACAAAGGAAAACTAAGCAATAACTCTATTGCCCACTAAACCAACTAACTCTAGCCACCAACTCCGATCTCAAAGATGAGAGCTAAACAAGCAGCAACTCTATTGCACCCAAACATCAACTAACTCTAGTTGACACTCCTAGGCAACTCTACCCAAGAGGACATCAAAATAATGATGTAAAAAAGGCTTGAGTAGAACATAGACTATTCGACTAACTAACTCTAGTTAATACAACTCAAACTAAAGACTTAGACAAGTAACCAATCTACTATCCTTTATAAGTTAGGAGTAGATCTTTACAATATAAAAACATAAGAAACAAAGCTCAAATTACAACAAAGATGCTTCAGCACTCCATCAGGTCCCTTGTTGAGTATGAGCAATGCTCTTTCTTGAAGATGACCTTTTCTTTGTGAGCTTATGGATTTTCAAAAATTCAAGACTTCGTTTGTCAAATCTTGAGTTGTGTCTTTGGAGATGAGACTATATTCAAATGGACACAAACCCTTCAGACAAAGCCATTGGCTGGGCGCCTCTCTCTCATATTCACCTGTCAAGGCATGACATAGATAGTAGACAGTTAGCTCTCTTACAGCCAGTTGTGTACCAACCATGTCAGATATGACAACTTTTAGACAACTGTATTTTGACTTTTTCATGTACGCAGTCTATCCTCGACCAGGTCCCTTGATAGATCTGGAAGTTTGTTAAATCATCAAAACTTCAAATCAACTTAAAAGGATCCGGCTCCTCTCCATATCTCTTCTCTCCATTTTCCCCAAGTTCCTACTTAGATGTATGACACTTGTATTATTTAAATATCAATGATGCATATTTTTAAGTAATCAAATACCTATGAGTAAAAAAATATATATTACCATTTAAATCTATCTAATTATTGCTACAAAAATAAACCATCTCACAATTTTTTAGCACCATTGTTCAAATCATTTTCATTACCTATAGTTTTTCTATTCACCAAAAAAAAAAGTTTCTTTATAGACCAAATTTCTATCAATTTAAAATAAACATTTAAATAAGTTATTTTACGAAGAAAAATATTGTAAATCATAAAATAGAATATTTAGCATTCAGATATTAAGTAAAAAGTATTGAAATTACTTTTCCATAAAATATCAATGAAAACTAAAAGTTAGACAAACTTTTCCAAGAAAATAGATAGAACTTATTTTTTTTTAAAATGTATATATATATTTTTATCGTGACTCAAGTTGTTAAACTATAGAAGAACTCTTTTAATATCAAAAGCTTAATGCTATTTAACTGAAGTAAATCCATTTTTTCTCAAAAAATTGGAAAATAAATATTTTCTTACTAAAGATGGGAATCTTAAAGATCTTTTTTAATCATGGTTAATTAGTATACTTCTTTGATTAAGAAAACTAATTAATCTAGACCTTTAATATTTAAGTAATATAGGTGTCATACATCTAAGTAGGAACTTGGAGAAAATGGAGAGAAGAGAAATGGAGAGGAGCCGGATCCAACTTAAAATAACACATTCCCTAGCAGAAACAATCATTATACTATTATGTGTTATATGTGCAAGCAAGCACAACGGTTAACGGGGATATTGTCTTCCTATAGACACAGTTCAGTAAAATTAACATAACTTTTTATTTGAATGTACAAATATAAACTCCTTAAACGATTTGAAACTAGCTAGGGTCCAATGGCTGTAATTTCACTCCAGTAATCATTGGCAGAATACACCTACACTGGGAGTCACAAACCTTTTTTTTTAATTCACGTCACGTTAACTAGCCATAATTCCTAACCCTTTTATTTTTTCTGAAGTTCTCATTTGACTCTTATACTGTGATACACTTTCATTTCATTCCCAATTTATCAGAACATACTTTCGACCTTTCAACACATAAAACTTATTATTTCTCGTCAATTTAGAAAATGTGAAATATATAATTGAATTAAAACTTAGCAAAAATCATTCAGTTGTAAGAACTTTATCATTTGGCATTTTTGTAGGTATTATAAAGATAATGTCTATTCCCGGATTCATTCTCATTCTAAAGATCATGATGTTGGCTCAGGATCGCATGTACACGTCAGTTTGTCTAATAATGGAGAAAATGTTTTTATCGCATCTGGTGAACCGAATAGGTATGGGATGTCCCTGATCGGAGAATCATTCATGGCTGGAGTGTTAGATCATCTTCGTTCCATATGTGTATTTACGATGCCTATCTCTAATAGGTAAACTTATTATTATAACTCTTAATGTACTGCTTCCTTTGGGGTGCCAATTCTTCCGATGAGTAAATATTTCTGATAGAAATTGGTCAACATACTTTGTGATGAGATTGCAAGGACCATCTTTTCTATTGGAACATAGGCAATAGTTTAACTAAGAGAAAAGACATAAAATGACATCTGAACTTGTTTCGAATTTTTAAAAAGATACCTTAACTATGTGGGTGTTCTATTACCCTACTAAACAATCTTGAACTGATATTATTACATCATTTTTAATCCACCTGACATAAAGAGTGTGTGTACTCTCTCAAAGAGAGTGAGCAACCTAAAATAACTAATAGTATAATTTTATTTTTACAAGTATTTTATTATAAAATATACTTTCTTCTATTTCTTATTATTTTAACTTTTTTTCCTTTTTATTTTTGCTCTTTCTTTCTTTTTTTTCTTCAAAAATTCATTGTCATCTCCATTGAACTTTCTCACTTTCAATGTCACCATTTTTACCACAATTTCACCTTCTTCTTTTTTTTATTACTATTAGTTTTACTCTCTTTAATCTTAAAACTTTATCTAAATATTTTTTTACATTTCGAACAATTTGATAAGTCCGTTAGATTTCAAGATGATTAGGAAGTATCATATATATATATTTTATCCGATTTCAATTAAGTTCTCTCAAAATTTGGGGAATTCATTGATTCTTTTAAAATTATCATTTCTAATTTTGAAGTTATATGGAAAGAATTAATTGATGATACCTTTAAAATTTTAAATTTTCTTAGAAATATAATTAGTGTTGTTATCAATAATTCAATAAAGTCTCAAAAATTGTATGAGTTCTTTTTTATAAAAAAAAAATCAATGAAATAAAGAATTTGATCGGAGAAGAAGAAGAAAAAGAAAAGCAAAAAAATGGGAGGAGGGTTTCAACTTGACGTGCGAGGGGGGGAGGTGAAGAAAAAGAAAGAAAATTGAGGGATGAATCACTTGAAAGTGTGTGTGGGGGGGGGGGGGGAGGATGGAAGATGAAGTGGAAAGTAATATGAAATCAAAATTAAAATAAGTCTCGAAAGAAAGGGGTTTACCTTCTGGCTCAAGCTCGTCGCACCGGGCTTGCCTAGTGCAGGTTACCTCTCTTATGTGGTTTGCGAGCTATTGCATAAGAGTGGGGGTTTTACCATGTGCGCACCCAAAGGGTAGCGGCTGCGGGTTTCCCTTGTCATAAAAAATAATAATTAAAATAAGTCAAAAAGTAAGTGAGAGAGTAATAAAGAAAAAAAAACTTAAAATGAAAAAAATAATATTTTAAATTGAATTGACACGTGTCATGTAATGATTGGTATGTGAACACACTTGCTTATTAAAATCTGATGCTGATCGAAAAATTATATAATAATATCTGCTCAAAATTGTTTAGTGGGTAATAAGACGGTTACAAAGTTAAAGTGTTTTTTTGAAAATTCGAGACAACTTCAATGGTGACTCACCAACTGGGGACTAGTTATATTTTACAGCCTAATAACTTTGAGTGATTAAAGATTTTTTAATGAAAATTTAGCAGTTTATCTTTAACCCTGTGTTCTGAATTGAAAGGATATATTTTTACTGAAAATTTTCTTTATCCAAGCATCTAGATCTGAATATACTAGTGATGTATATTCATGTATTTTCTATTATCATGAAATTAGTTTCGGACGAACTTCCATATTCTTGGAGAGGATGTAAAATGTGTTCTTTTCATATTTGATTAAGCATCAATTCACTACATTTCAATCCCTCATTAATTGGGATAACCTGATACATCTATTTATGTTGTTTTTTTCCATTTTTGCAATGTTTCATCGTTGTCATAAGATATTGGAAGTATCGCTGTCTGGTTTTACAACAGCAAATTATGGAGCAGACTAATGTTTGTGGGGTCCCCATATATATATATATACTAGATTCACTGTACGTGTAGGTTAAGTCTTGAGATCCCTATACACGATATATTTTATATTTTATGTATATTTTAGGCTTTTCAACATATCAATATGCATTTAATATTGCACTACGTCATACTAAGTGAATGGCCAATATATTTGCCTTCTTGTTTGTTGGGCATGTAGTGACGAACGTCGTATTCTTAAATTCTTATTAGGCAATTTGTTAGTAAGTAATTGTGCACGGATTAATAGTTTGTCCTCTTAGTTATGTCGTGTCATGAACTGTATGCTCCCTTTTAATATTTGAAATTCAGTGTACCCTGCATTTTAATAACTTTATATACACAAAAGTAATGTCCTCTATGGTAGCTGTCTGTTGTTTTTCATATCGTCTCCTCTTCCACCAAAACTAAGAATTCATCCAATATAATTTTCATTAGCTACATGTGTGGTGTATGTTTTTTCCTGTTTGATTTCTTACAATTTTGGTATTAATCAAATCTCACCTAATACTTTCTTGTAGACAGTATTTTCTTGTGTATGTCCCGGTGTATCAATCTGGTTGTTCAGTCATGACCTGAACATTTTTTATTGACATAGATATTCCTCTAGATAGTGCAACATATAGTTTGCCATGCAAGAAAGCATGTTGTGGTAGGTATACTCCTACATTTTGATATCGTTTGACTTTTAGCTTTATTTATCATCATTGCAAAAACATAGACATATTGGAAAATTGTTTCCGAATAAATTTGAAAGGGTATTGTTGTTTTTTCTGCATGTATGACATTCTCGTCAAAGCCTCTACAAATCAACCATGCCCCATTTCATAAGCCATTTGAAGGGTCCAGTTTTCTCATTAGCATGATGGGCGCATTTTCTTTCAAAACTAACCTAATGTATAAAATTAAACAATCATCAATTGTTATGTATATGTGATCGTGTAATTGTTTTCTTCTCTTTTGTGCTATGAAGTATCACAATAAGATAACTGTAAAAGTTATGATGGATTAGACAACGTACTTATGCGGCGGAGTCCATTCGGTGTTAAGGTGTTTAGGTATAAATACAGTTCATATCTTTACTGAGGTTGATTCTATGTAGTCTTGCACACTGAAGCCTAGTAAATATTTAGCCGCTTCAAATAGTATTTGATAGTTAAATTTCAGTCGTCATGTTGGATGGAGCTTGGCGACTACCATTGGGATATGAGAGTGACAATGTTAATTTTATGCGTTATTGTGTATTAGTACCATTGATGAGGGCAACAAATGGTCGAAATCGGCATGATTAGGTAGGGATTTGTTGCATAAAAGAGGGTATCATTAAGATGTAAAGTGCGTCTAAAGTAAGGTTAGAAGTAACATATTTATGTAAAGTATGTGTTTAAAATTGGCAGGAGATTGTATTTGAGCAGGTTAGCCAATAATAGGTTGTATAAGTAATGCTTCAAGGGAAAGAAACAAAGTTGATTAGTGGTGTAAAGTATGTGTTTACAATTGCCAGGGGACTGTATGCAAGTAGGTGAACTAATAAATATATAATTGCATTAATAAAAATACTTATCTCATAAAATTAGCTATTAAATAAATAATAAAAATTAAACTAATATAAAACTCCAACTGACATTATTACAAGTCATATGAACTTTTCTTCGTCTAAAATACTGAAATATTAAGAAATAATAAATAAGTAAAACAAAACGGCAATGTTTATATAGTAATAACTATTTTGAATCAAACTTCCTGAGAGTCTAAATCACATAAGTAACATTGATAAATAAATTCATTCTTCTGTTTTGAGCATCAAAAATAAATCGTGACAATTCTCTAAATTTTGGAAAAAGATATTCAGAAGCATATATCTACATCACAAGAGAAATTGTGTAACAAAATCAAATGAATTTAGACTACATTATGTTAACTTCATATATTGGAACATTACATACTAATGTATATATTAAGCAAAAAAATAATTATTATATCATAAAAATTATATTATTTTCCTCAAGTACTCGAGGTTATGGAATATACCCTATTAGGATAGAACGACTTACTTCATCAGAATAGTGGTACCTCATATTATGCTAAAACTTTCGGAACTCACTCAACGACAATAAATCACACAAAAAAAAATTAAATGCAAGAAGAAGAAGAAGAAGAGCAGAAGATTTGAAAAAATGTGGTTGAAAAATGAGAGGAAGTCCATCTATTTATAGTCAACAAAGGGTAGTATGAACAAACAATTTTTGTGTCTTATTTGAAAAATCATGACCTTTCCGAGAAGTCACAACACTTTAAAAAATTCACAATTTTTTGAAAAAGTCACAACTCTTTGGAAAAGTTACAACTTATTGAAAAAGTCACAACTCTTTGGAAAAGTCACAACTCTTTGGAAAAGTAACAACTCATCGAAAAATCACAAACCTTTGAAAAAAGTCACAACTTATCGGAAAAGTCACAAGTATTCGAAAAAGTCACAACCTAAGTTAGGGATATTATAGTAATTTAACATTCAAGTTAAGAGTTCATACTTTTAAGGTAACCGTTGGAAAAAGAATAAGTCCCGCTCCTATTAACATAGGGACTGGAAGTGGAATGAAAGGTATGATCCACGCATATTCATATGTCTGTTCCATAAAAAAGTTTTGAATTCTTAATTAATTGTTCAAGTTAAGAGTTCATACTTTTAAGGTAATATATATAAATATATATATATATATATATATATTGAAGTCCTCCTTTGCAGCAATAGGCCCTGGTCTTCAATTACTGCAAATTGATGAAATTATTGATGAAAATATTAGTCCACTTTTGCTGCATGATTTTTCCAACTTTGTCAAAATTATATCACTTTTTCAGATAAGTGATAGAAGAAATAGTCTACCTAAGTTTAATTTTCTTATGGATATTGATGTCACTACCTACATCATCATGAACATGATACTCTATAAAATGATCAAATCACGAGTTCAAAACACACCAAAATAGAGAAGCAATAGAGTGGAGAGAGTGATCCACAAATTATTTCTTAGTTTGTAAGAAAATAGTATGGAAGTAATATTATTGTGAG